ACTGACGTTACATTTATACTCATATTTCGCTTCTCTCTCAAGTCGGAAAACCTAGAGGAAAATCTGCATTAGCGACTCTCGTACAAGGGACTTTCCAAAAACTGGATTTTCATAAGGCAGACCAATCAGGAGCCGAAAGATAATCTCGCACTTTCAAACGGAACCTGGGGGCAGTGGATAGTGTTCGGCTATTTGAAACCAGAGGTGATACAGCGCATTGACCCCACACATTTTTTTCCATATGACTTCGTCCATGTACGAATTCAGTAGTGCCCTTTCCGTCCCGTACCGCGACTTGTGCCCCTCCTTAAATTTCTGCCATAGAGACTCAATGCTGTTTGTGTAAGCACCGGTCTCAGGATCAATAAAGGGAGACTGTGGTTGACAGTCTGATGCTGGTATCCCTCTGGCATGCCCTTGATGGTACTATATGCAGCTCTCTGACCAGTTCACTATAGTTATGACGCTTAAAGAACGACAGGCCTGGCAAAAGCAAATCGGCATGCAACCAAAAAGAGGCGCCGGAGCGGAGACACTGTTAGAAGATCTGGACCGATATTTCAAAGTAAGTGAGAAAACTGTGGAGCTACAGGAATATTGAAACGCGGATGTGAAAAAGGGTAAACAGTGGTAAGAAATCTCCGAAATTCAGCAGACGGAGCTTGACATCGACGCTCAGTTACTACAGATAATAGGAATACAGATAATAAAACAATTTTGAAATCTATATTTTGTTCAAGAGAACAATGCAGTGATGAATGTCCGTATTATCAATCGCTACAAGAGAGAAAAAAGGGAACCGCTAACTTAGATGTTTGCTTTAAATGTTTTCAAAGCGGTCATTAAAGTATTGCTTGTAAGCATACGGTAGAGTGTTTTACTGTAAAAGCAAGTATCACAATTGCACGTTATGTCCAAAACGAGAGATAGCTAAGACAAAACAAAGATTACAGAAACTAGCTACATGGAGTGTACCAAATAAAAGCTACCAAAAATGCGCTAAGAGGGCAGACGTTATGATTCCAGCTAACAGTGCGATTTTCAATACAAGCGCAAATAAGGTAGAAGAGGAAGGGATGATGAACTTCTCGTAATCGTAGACGCACTAGTAGAAAACCAAGCACAAATGCTGATTGCTAAAATGCATGTTGCTAACCTAACTAAGATCAAGCCACACTTTGAACCACACATCTTTACGGGAAAATGTAACGAAAAATCATTTGTAAGTGCTGACAAACTTTCAAATATCGCTACCAATATTAGTAATACAGACAGATTCACTACATTGAGAATTCAGCAACTATTTTTTGCAAATTTACCTTCTAAGGGGAAAACATGCTGAAGATTAATGTCATAAAAGAATACTGTTCTGCTTTGTTGCTTGAAAAGGCTCTCAGATAGATGGCAGAAATTTGCGACATTTACTCCCAAAACTCATAATTTTTTGATAGTTCTCTAACGAAGCAAGAAGAACAATAAAGTGAACAATAAAGAAGAAAAAAAAAGATAGTCCAAGAATCAACCACTCACTATGGTAGAAAGTAAAGTAATTAATATCGTCCAAGGAGGAGACAGAAAGAAGCAGGATGTAAAACGTTTTTTTGTTTCAAACTTTCGCGTAACCATGAAAGAAGTAAAAAGTTAAAAGGAAAAGAAGACTGTAATAAAACAAGACGATATAAAATAGCTAAAAAAGAGCTTTTTTAGAATCTTGTCTATTTCAACACAGCAAAAAATGATACTTGAATCAGTACTTTTTTTTTGTAATTTCCGTTTTCCCAACAAAAATATCCTTGAATTCATTTGAGTTTTAGGACCTTGGAGATTTTACCATCGATTATAAAGATAATCCTTTTGAGCAGCACCATCGACTTCACTAGAGCTTTTCCTCTTTGCTCGTTTCTCCTTTTTCCAGTTAGACCGAAGTAAAAGGACTGCTCATTTTTGAGCATCGGATAAATATAATTTCGGTTTATTGTCTATTGCTTTCCAGATAAATGTTCAAAAACTTATGCGTTTCCCGAGTCTTACCAGTCATATTTTCTGTGAAGCAAAAACTGAAAAATTACGGTGGCAACTTGGCTAGTTCTTGTCGGTTCTCCCTTTCGGCCAATTCGGCCGATACCGACTGATTATAACTTGAATAGAATCCAGTGTAGTTATTGCAAATAAGTTTATGAGAATGAGCAACCAAAACTTTTCGGGTGCCAAGTAATGAACAAATTTCTGACCTTATGTAGATATTTGGCTTATATCACACTGCTGACTTTCAAGTGTATATTTGTTCCTTTTTTTTACAGCACAAATAAACGCCAGTCACTGTGAAATTCAAAACTGGTAGTTTGATCAAATTTAATTAAAAAACCCCAAACTTATTATAGTTTTTTTCACGAACCTTTTCTAAATATTTGAATTGTCTACCAATCGAAGAATGTAGGTGTCTTGATACAGGGAGTCTAAATCCTGTTATACCACACATTACTTTATCATCCTTTGTCATCGATAGCAAAGAGTGACAGCCAGCTCCTCTCTCAATTTTCTACACTGGTTTCCCACCAGACTTGCACGTAAATCCGGAATACTAAAGATGAGCAGGCAAGAAGAGAACTACAACAAAAGCAAGAAACCCCAAACATAATCCAGACTTGGCTAATGACTGCCAAATTCTAGAACTAATAGTATAACTTAATAATTGTCAATTTCCACATCCACCTGCTTTGCCCGTTCAAAGAATTTCCACGCCTCTCACAGACTTTTGAAAAAGACATTTTAGCAAAAACTTTTCCCGCAGTGCAGAATTCTTGAAATACGACAGCAGAAAAAAAGCGAACAGTCCATTACCATCTCAGCAATTACTGCACTCTCAAAATTTTCCTTTACCCAAAAATTTCAACTACGATGTTACATTATAGAACAAACTCACCAAAAAAGATTTATCGGTTTCTAAACAGCAATTAGAGAGACGTTCTCGAACAAAATAAGATCAGGAAGTATAAACCACAGAAGCTAATAAAAGTTACAAGAGAATTAAATAAAATCCGAGCAAACAAGAAATTTGTTTATTAATTACACATAGATACTGCCGTACTGTTCAATTTCTTCCAGCAACTCTGAAGGCCACAAAAGTTATCTACACTTAGTATATACAATGAGGTAGCGTATCTCGTATTGTGCATTTAAAAGCAATCAAAACAAAAAGCCGTTAAGCAATTGAAAGAAAGATTCCATTCTGACATCACGAATGCGAACCGCAGAAGTTAATAGCTAACTGCACTCAACCAGTTTGGGCTAACCCGTCCCACTAAAATACTCTTTTTTCACTGCGATTACACCATTAATCAATGCAGTAGAAATAACTATATAACTGCAAATATAAGAATTTCTTGTAAAAAAAACCAACATCAAGCTCAATAAAGCAAAATATGGCAACTTTTTCAACTTTTATAGCATTTATTTAAAAATAAAGTTCAGAAAAACTATTTTATCTCTCAACATGTAACGGTTTAACAACTATAAGCTACAGTTTCTTAAATTTACAGAAAAGGTAACCAATTAATAGAAATTTTTTGAAAAAATATTCTATATTTTCATATTTTAAAAGCATTTTTGTCCTAGCTGCAGGAATTCATAACAATCAGAAACCAATACCTTAACCAGTCGATGAGCCTCTGAATTCATAGCTTCCCTTGTGCTTTGCATAATACAGGACTCAACCTGATCAATTCCAGCCTTGATCGCTTGTGCTTGCTCCATATTTCCAAATCGCGTTTGTAAGTCTAAAAATCTCAGAACCGACTGAATGTTGAAGATCAACACTCTCTCACTGCAAAAAAATTCAATTCGCTAAGAGAAGGTGAAAATAAAGCTAAAGCTGGGTTCCTCTACAAAATATCAGAAAAGAAAGTCGAACTCAAACATTTTTACTCACCCCAGTAAAGAAAGCGAAGATATTAAAAATTAATACCAAATAAAAAAGGCACAGGTTCATACATAAAAGTGACCCATGATACTACTCGTATCAAGTAAGACATTATAACCCAAGAAGAAATGACAATAATCACTACTGTCTTCTCCGGTTTACCTTTTCTCTCAAAAACTTACTTCCTTGAAAAGATGAAACTAGAAACTTTCGACATTAATGGAGTATGACAACTTAATTGACTGCTTTTAATGAATAAAAAAATTTTGATGAAAAGTACATACTTACCGCAAATCATATGATTTGACCAAAGCATCAAGGACTGATCGCTACTTTTTGCAGCCCAGTCATTGGCTGCGACAAGAATATCAGCCGCTTCAAAACCGGCAAGCTTTGCCGATAATAAAGTAGCTAACGCTTGAATGCGGGGTACACCTTCATCCCTAACTATCGTGACGCTATCAGCTAAATGACTTCTGAAACATTTGATCGTTTAAAAAGCCAAAAAATATGACTGTTCACCTAGACAGCTTATTCACCTATAATTAACTTTGCACATCACTTTTTAAAATGAAATAAAAATGTCCAGTTACCATTAAAAAACTCCGACATTTCCAAAAAAAAACACCATCTCATTCTGAAATCAAACTCACTACTTCCCATCAGAAGCTCCACAAATTGTTTTCAGCAAGGTAAAAGCAAAAACTTTAGAAGCATCATCTTTCAAAAAACCCAATTCGATTGTACTCTTGCAAGTTATCAGAAAATGATGTCCTATCAAAAAAAAATATCTTTTAAAACTGTAAAAAAGGCAAAGCTAAACTATTCCAATTATTAACTTAAAGCCTCTGAGAAATCAAAACAGGGAAAACATATCTTGACCCGCTTAAACACCCTAAAAAATGAGTGAAAATGTAATTTTGAAATTAAAAAATGATAAACATTTATGGCTATGTATATGGACTAAACACAAGATATGGAAAACGTATCAAGAAAAAACCCTCTTCTCAATTACCGCAAAAATAACTTCAACCAACAAGTAGTATAAATAAATGAGACAACAGAAACTAGAAAAAATAAAGAGAAACTACATTTGAAATTAATTTTGGGTGGGAAACTAAGTTAATCTAATATTTGTCAAACAAAATCCCAACTATAAAGCAGACCTTGCTTCTTGAAAACGAGAATGAAGATAAGAGTGGAGAGCATGCACGAAATGAGCGGAAGACTTCAGGAGTGGTGAACTTGACTGAAGTTTGCCAGGTGTAATCCTTTCAAAAATGGTATAAAAATCTGCTTCTCTACAAGTGAGCAAGTAGACGATAGCCAAACACAAATTAACTACTGTCCAAAACTCGGTGTCGTGCGTTGTCTGCAAATTCCCATGTCAATAATTATACAGGAAATTTACCTAACTAGACCATCTTTTTTATATTCATAGAATTTACAAAGACCAGTTTTAACCACCACATTATAAAAAATGAGCAAATCCCAATAAAAAACATTTATACTCTTTTCCTAAGTTTTTACTCAAAAAAAGCTACCAAAAAACATAAATCTTAGACCCGAGTCAGAAACGGATTGCTTAGTGTGGCTTTTTTGACTATAAAGAAGATCAATTAGGAGCTTTTCACATACTCCAAACTTGGTAAATCAGAAACGATAAAATATGAATGCAAACGTAAACATACTCTCAAAGCGGCTTGGAAATGTCGGTCAGCATCGTCCGGTAATCTTATCAGCCAACAGTAGAGGCCCTTAAAAACTTTACTTGATTTACCCAACCCCAAAACTAGCGACGCTCTGTAAAAAGAAAGTTCTTGACTTACGATTAAAGCATGAGCCTGCGCTTCAAACCGGTCGAACAGATCTCCACTTTCCCGCATTTTGTTAACCATAATGTGCAGCTAAATTGTAATGGAAAAGTGCAACAAAAACAGTTACATATAGCAAAAAATATATATGTTCATATAATTTTAGAAAAAGCTACAAAATACAATGCTTACAGCAGGTGTTAGCAAAGTATGGGAAAAGCATACCACATTGATCGTCTCTAGTGGTCTAGCTAGCATGATCTGAGTAGTAGCAAAGTTCTGCAGCAAAACAATTTCTAAAACGTTTAAACACTCCAAAGATCCCCGACGAACAATAGGCCAATTTTGCTGAGCCATTAAACGCCTCATCTCACCAATATGACGCATGGCAATAGCATGGTATTTGTAAGCTCTAATACGCACTTTAATGTTCAAAAGAAAAAGAAAAATATTAAGTGTCTATCCCCACTCAAATAAATTGGGAAAGATGAAAGTTATGCACTATTCTGGCGCATTTACACTACGCATTAGCAACTTTGCTAAAAAAAGACCATGTAATTACAGATTTGAATCCTCGGCGTGAAGAAAACAGTAATAACCTTTCCAGCTGGCAAGTCTGTATACTTTGAATCACTGTTAAGACGTATGTAAGAGCTGTCAATGTTTCTTTGCCCATCCAGTTGAAAAAAGGGTATTGAACAATTCCTCCATCAAAATCTCCTTTCATCTGCTGGACCAGTGCCTGCAGCTGTCGCAGACAAACTTTTGTACTCTTCATCTGCAAAACAAGTATTACGTAACGATGAGACAGTAAGAAAACTACCTCTGTAAAGGATTAACGGTTCAGAGTTAAAAAAGAAGAACTAACCAATCCAACTGAAAGAAAGAAACAGATCTGGATAGTAAAGCAAAATGCTTTAATGTAGTCAACAGATGGATGTGTTTCACCAAGAGCAGTTATTTTCTCTCCAACTTTCATGATATGTTGCATTAGCTCCTCGCCCCTACTTAATTCCATAGAAACAATCTGAAAAATCGTTTTTCAAGAATTAATCGTACTGTAAATGGAATAAAAATTTTAATTACAACAAAATTAATGAAGGGGAAACTACGAAAATCACTAAACTTCTTTAAGTTAAAACATATAATCTATTATTGTATTAAACCTAACCATAGAGCTTGAGAGACTAAAGTAACATTCAAGTTCAGGATTTCCCAGTTGTGAAAAAATTGAAGCTCCAACGTTCACAACTTCCTCAGCATTTCTCCAATCATTAACCATTCCAAATACTTCCTGAAAGTTGGTACAAACTACAACGAAAAACCAACAGCTACTGTAGCTACCTCCCGATCAGCAAAAATTGAGGCTTTTAAGGGACGATGAAATTCCTATAAAATAACGGCAGTGAAAGATGAAAAGTAAAGATCGCTGAATTTTCCTTCCATTGGGCAGAAACTTTAAACTGATAAAAAGGGCTTTATTTATCCCTAATTTCTTGTATAACGCGACAAAGGAAACCATAGAATGGAAGAAGGTAAAAGATGTGCAACTAAAGACTGGATTAAAAAGAACAATCCGTCAAGAGCAGCAAGATCAAAGCCCAACTTAAAATAAGAGCAAGAGCAAAAGTCACTGAGGATCGTTACTTGTAAAAAATGTCTACCAACAAATCATAAGAAACGTAAGAGTATGTTAAATAGTAAGTGGTAGAGAAATCTTTTGCCGGAAGATAATAAGAAAGGATATACCGCATAAAGAAAAAGGATACGAGCATGAATCATTGGAAACATGCGAGAATGTACAGATTCTTCACGCAACAAATGTTTGGCGGCGTCGTACATGCGCATCTGCATGTAAACTTCTGCCAGTAAACAAGCCACTTCCAAACGTCGCTCAACGTAAGATGCTCCGAATTCTTTCATTTGATTGTACTAAAAAAGATACCAAAAAGAAATTTAGTTACTAGAAGCTGAGTGAGAAAATAAAGAACGATAAGAAACCAAAAGAAGTTTCTGTCAGCAGTCGCAAATAGAAAATATCAAAATCAATTCTGCAGTTCCTGTACAAGTGATTCTTAAACAACGTTAAAAGTTGAAGGTGACTTACTGCTTGTTCAAGATGGCATTTAGCAAGGTTGATATTTTCCGTGTAGAAGAAACACAGCTTACCTAATGCAACATGAGCATAGGCACTTAGTTCCGGAGACATCATGGTATGGAAGCATGCCTGAACAATAACGTTCGCCACAATATTAACAAAAAGACATTAGAAAAAAACCTGATAAAAAGAATTCAAAACTAAAAAGATTGTTTGGAGAACTTAGCCCCTCTGAGTTCATTTAAAGATCTTACTCGAGCACATTTAATTGCCATCCTATATCGTGGTGGGCTCATTGTCCGAAAATGTTCCGCCATTGCCAGTAACGTCACACCAAGCTCCACACTTCGCTGCTGCACGGGAGGAGGCACATTCAAACTCATTTCATTCAAAGACGCCATCCTAGAAGAAACTGTATCATAAATATCTCATTTGAAAAACATGCCTAAAAAGCGTATTGCAACAAACAAAAACTGAAAGATATTTTTACTCATAATTAGTGAACGGCACGAAAAGGGAAAGCTATGGAAGCAATATCCATGAATAATTAAAATAATTTCAAAAATTTAAAAAAACAGTAGCAATTTGTTATACTTACGTATGGTCATAATGAATGTTAATATTAGTACTCTTCTTTTATATGTCAGTATAGTTTTTTGAAGACAGTGCCTTAGAACAGCTCATGTCCTAATTTCATTGATAAGATAAAATTACGTTTTTCAATGCTGTTTACCACCAACTTATTGCCTCATACTAACACTGTTACTTTCAATTTTCACAAAACAACATCCTTTAAGGGTGACATGAAAAACTGTCCTAGTTTCGTCAGTGGTGCTCCCGAATCCAATCTTGCTCAAAAGAACCACATAATTTAAAGGTAAAGTCTTGGTAAACAATACAATTCACTTTAATCTGCTCTTCCTTCCATTTTATTTTTATTTTTTTATTTTTTTTTTTGACGTCTCGACAATACGTAATCACTACCGCTATGCAGCCAATAGAGCAAAACCAGATAACCCAAATTAGGCGTTAATCTTCAATTATTTCTGTGTCAACATGAAAAATGAAAACTTGAAAAAGAAATTAGCTTTCAAGTTCAAGCAAAAATCTCCCTATGTCCGCCAAAATAAACAACTGGGCCGAACAGATATTAAATTTAAATTTTGCAAGCAGCATATGAAACTATAAGTCCTTCAGAACGAAATTCTTACTTAAAATAATCATCACTAGAACTAATACAGCGTTTCAAAACGTGTATGACTGCATTTATTTCCCCCTCGTAACTATCAACTACAGCAGCGAAAAAAGTATCAAAGGTACAGCCAACTTTGTTAGTGAAAAAATGCATAAGCACCTAGAACATGAACAAAAATAATTTTATTTCGTAGCAGTTTTGCGAAAAGTGTAGTGATGCATAATTCGGTTATATAATCTTATGAATATCAATTTACAGATCCGCATAAACCTGTACAGGAACCTCCACAAATTACTGCCCTATATGTTTATCAAATTTTTCATACACATCTCTCGACTCACAACTACGTGATTCTGCAGTGACAATACTTGCTCAACTTTAAAAAGTTGTGCAAGACAGTTCAGCGATAAGAACAATAAACAGTAAGGGATTTATCCTTCGGTGAACTGATTTCGCTCTAAGCCCATTCTCCATCACGAACTGTCACCTGGTCAAAAATAATTTATATCAAGTTAAAAAATGAAACAAAGCTACATTTGCCACTGAAAATACCGACTTCCTTATTTCTCCTACTCTTCAAGCCCTTCTGTCATAATAACGTTTGATTCCACTCAACATGTTTTTTTCTTTTATTTCGACGATCGCATATCAGCCTATCTCCTCAGCCACTTTTAAATCTCTAATTCCATTTAATTCTGTACTACTGCGAACTGGTCCTTTCCTGGATTCACATTTCTCAGAGCCAATTTTATGAGCTAATTACAGTTACACGTGCCCACTTCTAAATAGGCTCTTTTCAGCTGTTAACTTTGCTTCATAATATGAGTTTACGGTTCTGAGTGAAATGACTAATCAGTGCTAGTTTCATGCACTGCTCGCCAAATTTCCAACGATCTAACGCCATAATATTGTTTTGATTCCTGTGTCGTTTCAAAACAGCAGATTGTCGCGCGATTTGCGGGCTGTAACTGCATTTTTTTGGCCGTAATCCTAGAAATCTCGAAAAGTCAAACCCAACCCACATGTTAGCCTCCTACTAACAGTTCTCACATTTTTCTTACCATTTGTCTTACATAGAAGCATATAGACTAGTTTGAAAGTATCGCAGATGACTCAGGCTACGTAAGGACCCTAAATACAAATAGCGAATGTACGTGGACAGAGGGAAAAAAAGTATGTTTGATAAGTGATACGTTTAGACGCAATGGTGATATTTTATTTGACGACAAAGAAGTCAGGAAATGCTTATTGGTCAAAATTTTCCAAATGCTTCGAGTCGCACTAGAATTGTCATAGTTAAGCACAAAATCTGCTCATGAAAAGACAATTTTTGTTAGGAGAGTGATTTAAAAATAAGCTACTACGTGGTTTTTAGCGTTTTTTTTTTTACTTACGCGGAAAAATATTGCATCTTAAAATATTTTTTTTAGAAATTTTTTGTTAACTTCATGAACCAAAAACACGCTTGCTGCACAAAGCTAAGAATCCATCACAGAATAAACGGTTCTGTACCTGCGGAGTACAGACACGAAGAAGTAAGCTAGTAATCCGTTGCATAAACGTATAGAAGAATTAAAGAGATGAATTCTCATTTAAGTACTGAAAACTGTATCTATAAAACTTGAGACCATGAAAACCAAGAAGATGAACTTAAGGAACGCGGGAACGAATCGAATGCTAATGCCAAATCCAAACACGAAAAAAGAACACTAGGCGAAAGCTAAAACAACATTTATGGATAAGTGATTTGGCGGGAATTCCGGAGCCGAATTTTTAACGTTTAATATAAGTAATTCACTGAGAAGGCACGTTTCAAAGATACTTTTCAAGATAGTTTTATACTAGTGACAGGTAGATTAATGAAAAAAAATTCATTTTATGACTGATGATGATATACATTTACCCAATGTATGGTAAAATTATGGCAAATGACTGTTTATAAGCAAAAGTTTCGGAGTATTTACGGAGGTATCTGTCATAATTTGTCATAGTGAACAAAAAACAAGATGTTTTTTTTTTCTTTGGCAGAATTCCAGTAGAGAGTTGGAAATTTTGCAGGGGACTGCTTCTCTCAGCAAAATTTTTTAAGCTTTGATTAATTTGTCTTTATTTTCTGCGTGTATTATTAATCTAAGCATAAGCATAGAATTCTTCAAACCCAGTTTTTTCCAAGCTCTGTTATAGTTGAACTGGAAATAGACGTTGTTAAGTTTGTGTGCAGTAGAAACTACAAGTTAAGTAAGTTCGTATAAACATAGGGAATTATGTTTGATGAGGAAAATTCTTCAAGAAGGAGTTCAAAGTAGAAAGTATATTTAAAGCGGTATAAGTTATATTTAAAATTATTAAGTTTAAAGTAGAAGCTGGTAAAGATTAAGAGCCTCAAAATGACAGGCACTGGTTCTTGCTAGTACTGAATTGTACAGTCTTGTTTTCTTAGACTCTTCGTTTTTGTGTTTTCAACTCTATTTATGACGACAGTTTGTCATTAATTGCGTTACATTTTTACTAAAAATGTTGTTTTTATGGCATTTCTAATATTTATCCTTTTACAAGAATGTGCCATGCTTGTTTAGACTTACAGAACATTTCAGTTACTCTCATACTAGAGAATAATTTTTGTACAGATTTAAACGGTTCTAAAATGCTGGGTAGTGAAAAAGCTGAGCACCTGGTAACTGTTCAAAGATTTTGAGCAGTACTTTTTACATTTAAAAATATTATATTTTGCTTCTCTATTTAACATTTGTATTTTCTCGTTTGTTAATTTTCTATTAAATATTTGTAGTTTTATCAGTCGCTTTGTAGTCGCTTTATCAGTGCTGTAATTTCATCTTTTGTGTTTTTTTTTTCCACTGCATTTATTATTTACAGATAAAACCTTCATTCTTCTAATCGATTCTCAAAAAAAAAAAAAAAAAAAAAAAAAAAAAA